TTAGTTTAATTGTATTTAATTAGTTTCCTGAATGTATTTATCAGCTGTAGGGTTTTAAATGGTAGAACTTTGGGTGTTACTTATACTATCATATCAGCTGCAAATAGCAATAATTTAACTTCTTCCTTTCCAATTGTATCCACATTAGTTGTCCTATTGCTCAAAGGAAAACATCATGTACTTTATTGAATAGATACGGAGAGAGTGGACAGCCTTGTTATGTTCTTGATTTCAGTAGATTTGCTTTGAGTTTCTCTACATTTTATTGGTCTTGGCTATTGGTTTTCTGTATATTGCTTTTATTAAGTTTAGATATGAACCTGTTATCCCTAATCTATCCAAGATTTGTATCATGAAGAGGTGTTAGATTTTGTCAAAGGCTGCTTTTTCAGCATCTAGTGAGATTACTATGAAAGTTTTTTTTTCCGTTTATTTATATGGTGGATTACCTTGACACACTTTCATATGTTTCATTATTCCTGCATCTCTGGAATGAATGCTACTTGATCATGGTAGATGATCATTTGGATCTGTTCTTAGATTCAGTTTACTAGTATCTTATTGAGTATTTCCGCATTAGTGTTTATGAGGGAAATTGGTCCGCAATTTTCCCTTTTGGTTGAATCTTTGTGTAGTTAAGGTATAAAGTGACTGTGGCCTCATAAAATGAATTTGGCAGTGTTCTTCTAATCTTTTTTCTGGAATAATTTGAGGGGAATTGATATGAAGCCTTCTTTGAAAGTATGAAAATATTCTATACTAAAACCACCTGGACTTGGGCTTTTTTCTTTTTGATTGGAAGATTTTTAATGACTGCTTCTATTTCTTTAGAGGTATGCGGCCAATTTAAACATTTTTCTGATCTTGATTTACCTGTGGTAAGCATTATCTATCAAGAAAAATTTCCATTTCTTTTAGATTTTCCAATTTTATTTAGTACAAGATTTGAAATATAGCCTAATGATTCTTTGAATTTTCTCAGTATCTGTTATTATATCCTCCTTTTCAATTCTTCTTTTGTTAATTTGGAAATTCACTCTGTGTAATTTTAGTTACTTTGGATAAGAATTTGTCTATCTTGTTTATTTTCTCAACAAACCAACTGTTTAATTGATTCTTTATATAGTTCTCTTTGTTTTCATTTAATTGATTTCATCCCTGAGTTACATTGTTTCCTGACTTCAACTTCTCTTGGGTGTGATTGCTTCACTTTTTTTCTAGAGTATCATGTGTGCTGTTAAGTTGCTAGAATGATATCTCTTCAATATCTTTATGAAGACACTTAGCCCAATAAACTTTCTTCCTAGCAGCATTTTCATTTGTTTTGTAAGTTAAGGGATGTTGTGCATTCATTCTCACTGAATTTTAGGAAGTCTTTTATGTCTTTATTTTTGACTTGACCCTGAAGTCAATCAGTAGAGAGTTGTTCAGTTTCAATGAGGTTGTAGACATTCTGTTTCTGTTGTTGAATTCCAGTTTTAATCTGTTGTGTTCGGATAGGATATAGGAGGGTATTTTGATTTTCTGCCATTTGTTGAGAATTGCGTTGCAATTGAGTATGTAGCCAATTTTTGAAAATGTTCATTTCATGAAGTTCTGAAAATAAGGTATATTCTTTTGTGTTTGTGTGAAATGTCCTGTAGCTATGTGTTAGGTCCATTTGAATCATAGTATCTCTTAGCTCTGTTTTTTTCTCTGTGTAGTTTCTGCCTGGATAACCTGTCCATTGGTGAGGATGGGGTATTGAAGTCTCCCATTATTAATGTGTTAGCTTTGGTATGTGATTTATGCTTTAGTAATGTTTGTTTTACAAATACGGGTTTCTTTGAATCTGTAGCATAGGTGTTAAGAATTATAAGTCATCTTGGTGGATTTTTCCTTTGATAAGTATAAAATCACCTTCTCTATCTTTTTGAATAATTTTGGTTTAATGTCTATTTTGTTAGAGTCACTGTACCAACTTGGTTCTTGGGTCTATTTGCTTGGAAATTCTTTTTCCAATCCTTTATTCTGAGGTAATGTCTATGTTTGATGTTGAGGTGTGTTTTGTGTATGCAGCAGAAGAATGGATGGTGTTTTTGTATCCAGTCTGTTTGCTTGTATCTTTTTATTGAGAAACTAAGTCCAATGATATTAAGAGATATTGATGATCAATGATTGTTAATTCTTGTTATTTTGATGGTAGTAGTAATGGTTCTCTCTCTCTCTCTCTCTCTCTCTCTCTCTCTCTCTCTCTCTCTCTGTCTCTCTCTCTCTCTCCCTCCCTCCCTCCGTGTGTGTGTGTGTGTGTGTGTGTGTGTGTGTGTGTGTGTTTGTGTGTATGTGTGTGTCCACTTTTTTTCTTTGGGTTTTGCTGGAATAAGACTAGTTATTGCCTGGGTTCCTGTAGATGTAGGTACCCTAATTGTATTGGAGATTTTCTTCTAGTATTTTCTGTAGAGCTGTATTTGTGAATAGATATTGTTTAAATTTAAGTTTATAATGAAATATCTTGCTTTCTCCATCTATAATGATTGAAGTGGATGCAGTAGTCTGGGCTGGTCTCTTAGGGTCAGCAAGATATCTATCTAGACCCTTCTGGCTTTTACAGTCTCTGTTAAGAGGATGGATATAATTTTAATATGTCTGCCTTTTTATATTATTGGTATTTTCTCTTTGAAGCCTTTAATATTTTTGCTTGGTTTTGTAATGATTAGTGTTCTGGTACTTGTGTGACATTGAGATTTTCTTTGCTGTTCCATCCTATGAAGTTCTGTAAGCTTCCTGTACTTTTATAAATATGTCCTCCTTTATGTTAGAAATATTTTCTTGTATGATTTTGCTAAATGTATTTTCTGAGTTTTTGAACTGGGATTCTTCTCCTTCTATTCCTGTTATTCTTAGGTTTGGGCTTTTCATATTGCTCCAGATGTCCTGGATGTTTTCTGCTAGGAAATTTTTATATTTAACATTTTTTGACTGATGAACATATTTCTTCTATCAAATCTTAAACACCTGAGATTTACTCTTCTTTGATCTCTTGTATTCTGTTCATTTGTAGTTCCTTTTAGTTTACCTAGATTCTTCATTACCAGAATTTCTTTTCTGTATTTACTTTATTGCTTCTCTTTCAATTTTCCCTTTTTAAACAGTTTCCTTCACCTGTTCATTTGGTTTTCTTGTCATTCAATTAGTGATTTATTGATGTCCTCCAATTTTTTGTTTGTGTTTTCCTCAATTTCTTTAAGGGATTTTCCATTTCCTTCTTAAGGGCCTCTATCATCTTCATAGAGTAGGTTTTAAGGTCATTTTCTTGTGCCTCTGATGCATTTGAAAAATTCAGATCCTGCTATTGCATGATAGCTGGGCCCTGGTGGTCCCACATTGTCATGTCTGCTGTTGATTTAACTCTTACAGTGGTATTTGAGGATCTAGGTGTGGGATGATTGTAGGTCTAGGTGCTGTTGGTGCTGTTTCTGAGTTTGTATTTGTTTGATGAATGTTTTATTCCTTCCTTGCTTCTGTTCTCTCTCTCTCTCTCTCTCTCTCTCTCTCTCTCTCTCTCTCTCTCT